GTACCAACTTTAATTTTGAGCTGTATAGAGGTGATGGGTTGGCTGTGATTAAAAACAATAGCGATCCACAAATGGAAAAAAGTTAAAAAACATATAACTCAGATATTTAAAAGTAACATTTTAATATTTCTATTCAATGCAACATAAAAATAGTGAATTATCTTGATATTACGTTAAATCTTTGCGACTGCAGCTTCAAACCTTACCATAAACTTGAAAGTTTGTTAAACTATATTCATGCCAGCTCTAATCACCCACCAAGTATTTTAAAACAGCTGCTGACCTCGATTGAACAAAGATTATCATCAAACAAAATGATTTCAAAAACTCTGTTAATATTTACAAAGAAGCTCTTATAAAGTCTGGACATAGCACCAATATCCAATATCATTTAATTTAAATTTACTAAAAAATAATAATAGACACAAACAAAACATCATATAGTTTAATCCCCCTTCAGTAAGAATGTTATCACTAAATTAGAAAACCTTTTTGTTGAATTTAATCAACTTAGATTTTCAAACACCACAAGCTGCACAAGATTTTTAATAGAAACATCATCAAAATATGTTACAGCTGCATGCCAAATATTAGTACTATTATCAAATCCCACAACCAACACATTTTGCTCAATAAAATACCAATAATGTTAGAAAATGCAACTACATAGATATATGTTATATAGAGCTACGTGTTCTTTAAAAAAATCAATGTCTAACTAAAAATATTGTTTATAAGGCTACTCTAACACCGCTTAACATCATCATGCAAAAAAATCTTATATTGGTATTAGCAAAAACTCCTTCAAGATCAGGTTTGCAAACCACATAAAATCATTTAACTTGGTCAGGTATAAAACAACACTGAACTTTTTCTAAAGAGATCTGGAAACTTAAGGAAGCATGCATTAAACCAATAATCAAGTGGAGTATTATTTAAAAATCTCAACCCTATAACTTATCCTAAAAAAGTTGTAATCTTTGCATAAATGAGAAATATTTTATCTTGACTTACAATAAAGAACCTTTGTAAAATAAAAAAAGTGCATTGGTTTCAGTATGTAGGCACAGAAAAAAAATTTTTTGCTATCGAAATTCGACACCGGTTAAATAAATTCCAGTTTGGCGTGAAAACTGTCATTTAATGTCTTTGCAAGGCATTTTTGTATTTTATGATTTTAAATATATGGCTGAAAGATTGCCGAATGGCATGAAACTTAAAGTCCCATAAAAAAGTTGTATTTTCTTCATTTAAATAATTTATATATATATATATATATATATATATATATATATATATATATATATATATATATATATATATATATATATATATATATATATATATATATATTTAATTATCTTCGCTTCCAACAAGGCTGCAAGCAACCACTAATTAGTGCTGGAAGTTACTAGAAGAGAAAAGATGAAGATTGGAGAGCAAGATAACGATTGACAGACGACTTAAAAGATTGCAAATTATATGAATCAGGAAAGCAAGATGAAGAAAGTGAATTCCAAAGAACTGATGTTCGAGGAAAAAAACTAGACGAATAAGAGTTTTTGGAGCACTTAGGAACAGTAACAGAAAAAGGATGAGACTTAATTGAATGACGAGTAACACAAGGTAAATTTTAGTAGATAGCACAAGAGATATTAGCTCTTTAGAGCAGTGCCCATTATAGTATTTGTAGAAAAAAGAAAGAGAAGCAACATTACGACGATGTGACAGAGGTTGAAGGTTGGCTGCAAGAGCAGGTCCAACTATGTTTACAATGCGTTTTTGCATCTTGTCTAAAAGAGAAAGGGCATCATTAGAAGATTCGCCCCAGATATGGCAACAGTATTCCATACAAGGCCGGATTTGAGATTTATAGAGATATAGAATAGAATCCAGAGTAAGAAAGTGACAAGCTCGATAAAGAGAAGCAACTTTAGCAGATGCTAATTTTGCAACGGATTTGATATAAGGTTTCCAAGAAAGATCAAAAGTAAGAGTTAATCCTAGAAGATGAAGGGTAGGAGACTCATCGAGTACATTACCATTCATAAATATAGGAAGGTCTAAACTATTACGATGACGATTGGCCGAAAAAAATTGAGTTTTATCTGAATTAAAGTTCACCAACCACTGTGAGCCCCATGCTGTAGCAGAAGTGAGATCCTTTTCAAGCTCAGATGCCCCCTGCAAGCAATCAGAGGGAGTTGGCTTCTTATCGTGACAAGAATAAATGGTAGTATCATCAGCAAACAATGCCACCTTAGATGTGAGAATATCTGGAAGATCGTTAATGTAAATTAAAAAGAGTATAGGGCCAAGGATTGAACCTTGAGGAACCCCTGAGGTTACAGAATAAGAAGAAGAGTGCTGTCCATCAAGGACAGCTTTTATACTACGATTGGAAAGAAAGGATTCAATAATCTTAAAGATGTTTCCAGATACACCATAAGAAGAAAGCTTATGGAGAAGACCAGCATGCCAAACTTTATCAAACGCTTTA